TATCATGTATGTCACATAGCCACAGTACATCACCTGTAGCAAAAAGAAAAAAAATCTCCATCATCCAGAAACAACCATAGCTACATTTGTGATAAGAACCAGCAGATTACAAAAAGAGGTAACTGATTAAAAAATTGCCCGGTTTGTTTATGCAACAAACTCTCCTTCCATATGATTGAGGACCAACACTTCATTAACAGGTTCAGTCATTAAGACTAGGATACAGTCCACCCAACAGAGCAGATGTTGCAGGCAAATTTCTGGTTAAAGTGTATAAAAGAGAAATTGAGCAGTGTGCAAAAAGTCTAGAGGGGAGGACCGATGAGGGCTGAGACTGTTCGGGCAAAGGTGGGCTGTATGGCACCATAGTAAACACTGAAAAATGTTTCATGACCATTAGATTTAACTCATGTTTTTAAATCATCACGCAAATTAAAGTTGGCTATACAAGCCTACTATGAAGCACTATATCTACATCCTTCTTGGTTTCTTGTTGTAATTTTGCACAGCTTTGTTAATGAACTTCTAGAATGCAGTGCATTCATTTTTGGTGGCTTCCCATGTGTCAGATACTTCCTGTCCTTCATGATATGCTCATGATCAGCCATATGGCGACTTGTTTCAGAACACAAAATTCTACTCAGTGAGGAAAAAGAACGCTCATCTGTAGCTGTTGTGACTGGGAGTAGAACGAGATCAAATCCTCCATCTTTCATCCCAGGAAACAGCACAAAAATTGGGTTAAACCATTAGTGATGATAAAGAAGAAGTTGAAATCAAATCTACATTCGTTCATCCTATGATATTCAACTCTGTGTTCAAATTCTCTATTCTCTCCTGATCACATGCCATTCCCATTGCTGGTTGTATCTCACTCGACTCAATTGTTGGTGTTTTATAAGACAGGCATCTGTAAAAGCTATGTAGAGGTTGATGGAATCCAAAAGTTGTTGCTGTAGAGATGTAAGAATCGAGTCAGTGTACTTAACTGTTTTAGCTGGCTTAACAAACACTTCTTGCCTTCTTCATTTACGGAGTTAATATAAGTGCCCTAATTAGTCAACTTCTGAATTGAAGTCTTTGCTTCTTCCAGTAGGTTTTCAATGGATATCTCTCTGATTGATCCAAGTGTAGATTCCATTGCTGGACAGAGATCTACTACCGTTGTAGCAGATGCCTGGATGGCATAGTATAATGACCCAAGTGGTTTCAACAGTAGACTTACAAGAGAGAAGGTGATTGTGTTCTCTGAACTTAGTAACAAAAGTAGTCCACCAGCCTCACTACTTAGATCCGTCCCATCTCGGTAGATACTTTTCAAAGCCAGTAATAACGGTTGCAGTAATTTTAAAACAAGAACCAAGGATCGCTCATGAGAAAGCCAGTGGATTTTCCCAGGTTGGACTAATTTGAACTTCAGTCCCTATGTATCTTCTATATTTTCCAAGTTGTTCAGTCTTTTTGGACTCTTGCTGAAAAAGAGTATAATGAAGACTTTAAATTTATAACTTTTTAAAAGCTTTTTGAAGATTCTGAAGCTTGTACTAGTGCTAGTTGGAGCAGATGGCCTCTACAGTGAGTATTGGAGAGATTAGAGTTGCAGTTTTCTCTGAGCAAAGCTTGTACTCCACCATGTCTTCCAGAGAAGTTTGCAGCTGTATCAAATGCACAAACAGCCATCTGTTTGGGGTCCAATTGACAAGCATTTAACTCTCCTAAGATGTGGGTTTCACACGTGCAGCTGATGTGTCTTCTATAACCTGAACATCTAGAAATTCATCTGCTGACCTACCACTGATATCACGGTAACATAGGCAGTGACATAATACTTGATACCCATTTGCATCGGTGCATTCATCAGCCATCTATGCACATTTTCTGAATGCAGTGAGAGAGTTCTTCACTTTTTCAACTGCTGAGTTTTTCACTGTTGCACTGCATGCTTCTAATCAATCAGTTGAGTTTCTTGCAGAAAGATAGTGAGAGTTCGCTGGTCTTGGTTGGAACCAGTGTCCAACTTCTGGATTAACAAATCACAATGCACTCAACAGTGGCCTCCATACGTTGTATATTCTTTTAAAGTATGTATTGATGTTTTCCAGGGCAGAGGGAGTTTGGCTGGGGCTAGCAGGGTCACAGGCAGTTTCTCGGCTGGCTGCAAGGGGCTAGAGGCAGACAGCCCGGGTGGGCCAGCAGCGGGGCTGGGGGCAGACAGCCTGGGCAGGCCAGCAGCTTCTTGGCTGGCCACAGGGGGCTGGAGGGAGATGGTTGGGCAGCTAAGCAGATTCAGTGTCTGGCACCCATCTTTGGCATGAAGACTATAAAATCCCAACTTCCCTCTACCCTGAGACCCATTCTGAACCTCTCAAGCCAACTCAGTAGCTTATTCACTCTCTCACAGTCTGACCCCTTGACTGGTTTCACCCCTGATGGGAGTTTCTGGGTGTGGTTCAAGTCCTTAAGGGAGGCTAGGTCCCTCCTGCCTCCAGTCTTTCTCCTGAAACTTCCGGTTCTGGAAATGACATGGCTCCACTTGCGTATAGAGCATGTCACTTTTAGAAACAGTGATAAATGCTATAAAACAGAGGAATTCATATTTGGACACAGACATGTTCCCCAAACTGTCACAATGCATGATCTTTGAGCTTCATTAAAACACTGCTTTTTAGTATGTATTTGTGTTCAGAAGATTTCATACCATACTAAGTAATTAAATTATGTACCAATAAAACAAATACAAAATCTATTAATAACATGTTGTAGGATCACACTGTGTTTTGGCCATCATGGAGATACTTAAAAGAAAAAGATGAAACTCCAAACAAGACAAAGTACAGCTCTCCAAGCTTGGCTGGCTGCAGGAGGCTGAGACGGGCTGGGGGGAGGCAGGCAGGTGGGTGGGCAGCTTCTCAACTCAGGGGAAGGGAAGGGACCTAGGGGGAGGGGCAGAGTGGGGGTGGGAAGAGGTGTAGTGGGGGGTTTGGGGGGTGTAGTGGGGGCGGGTCTCAGGGAGGGGGCGGGGCTGGGATAGGGCACCCACTGACAAAGCCAAAAGTTGGCACCTATGGCGTCTCCCCATCCCTCACCCAGGCAGTGACTTGTCCCGTGTCCCGACAGGTGACTGGGGTGGGGTTGATCGTCACTGCCATGGGAGCCTGTTAATGTCTCTTCCTCACTGGTGTCTCTATCCCTGGCTGTTTGCTTTGCCCATGTGCTGGGAGCTCTGAGCTGCTCCCCATGGAGGGAGAACAGGACAAACCAGCCTCTGGTGACTGGGGGTCTGGGCACAACTGGGCCCTTGGGGGAGAGGCTCAGGGGTCTATGTGCTGGGCTGGAGCCTTTCTGGTGTCACTTTCTTGTGTGTCTGGTCCCTACCCCTGCCTTCTCCCACCCCGGTAGCTCCTGCTCCCCCGGCCATCCCCTGGGTGGGCTCCAGCTGAGGGGTGGGCTCCAGCTGAGGGCTGGGACTCTTGCCAACTTTCTGACAGAACAAAGCTGAACACCCTTGCCCCACCCTTCTCTGAGGTCCCCCCCCACGTACATCCGCCTTGGCCGTGTTCTCTGAACTTAGTAACAAAAGTGTCCACCAGCCTCACTACTTAGATCCGTCCCATCTCGGTAGATACTTTTCAAAGCCAGTAATAACGGTTGCAGTAATTTTAAAACAAGAACCAAGGATCGCTCATGAGAAAGCCAGTGGATTTTCCCAGGTTGGACTAATTTGAACTTCAGTCCCTATCGTATCTTCTATATTTTCC